GATCGCTACTACTTTTGTATGTTTTGATGTGAGAGACTCCCTAGTTGCAGAAATGACATATTGTACGTTAATATAGACCATATTTTTTTTAATACTCACTGGATTGTCCACATCAATGACAAAGCCCCCGTCATGTTTACGAGTCACACGGTAGTGTCTGAATACAGGGCTGATAGAGAAAGAGAGAGGGAGGCAATCAAAACACAAATTAACAAATTATGAATTGTCCATGATGACATGCAACAACACTTTTTAAAAAATTGTGTGTATATATATATATATATATATATATATATATATATATATATTTCCTGTTCTGTCAAACGAGGAGATTTCCTGGTTTCTCTGTTTTATATCATATTAAAAACTAAATATCTTTGGGTTTTAGACCGATAAAACAAGACATTTAAAGGCATCACTACTTTTCACCATTTTCTGACATTTTGTAGATTAATTACAAACAATAATTAATAATTCATCGATAATTAAAAATAATAGATAGTTGTAGCCCTAAATACATTCTCTGCAAAATATCTTGAGAACATGTATTAATATTATGAGTTTTTGCAAATTGATGCTGAAATGATTAGTCAATTAGTCAAATAAGAGAAAAAAAGAAAATAACTGACAGAAATTGTGGTGATCCATTAATCATTTTTAGTCATTTATCAAGTAAAAATTTGACAGGTTTCAGTAACTCAAATAGGATTTTCCCTATTTTATACAATTAAAGCTCCATCCACTCACAAATATTTCTCTCTTTTTGTTCCTGCAGTTGGATGTTTGAGCTCCACTGTGCAGAATGCTGTCTGTGCAGTTTGACACTAGAAGGATGTTTTCATGCTGAAAGTGGAAAGTTTTTCTGAGCTCATTGAACCTCTGATTTTAAGGGGCGGGGCCTACCAGCATGATTTGTGACATCACAAATGGTTAAGAAGTTACTCTTGGTCCCACTATGCAACTTATAAAGTGTGATATAGAAACCTGAAGCCACCAGTGCACATACACTGAGAATGGACTTTACAGGGAACTAGGAGACATACTAGATACATACAAACTTTAGAAATAAATACATAAAACTAATTCTAGAATATTTTATGAGGTAGAAGGAGCAGATGCCTTTTTAAGATTTTAATGTGTAAATTATACTTTTTTGTGGAAAGTACATATCAGACACACATTATTGTTCCAAGCCAACTGTTTGTATACATGTCTTGACACATGTCTGGATGGGATCTTTAAATATTTAGTAGTTATATGTAATATGTAGTCTGAAGTATCATTAGGCTGTGCACAGTTGATAATGATGGGCCCCAGTTTAACTAAATGATTAATCTAAAAGGTAATTATCAGGTTAGGTAATAGATAGGTTTTATGAAAACATGTGTTGGTCGTTGTAGTTCTAGTAGTTCAGTCATTGAAGGGTGACGTTGCTTTGCGTTAATGTGCTAAAAGCTCAGTTACTGTGACTTTATTCGACCTTCACTTTATTCGGCAACGTGTCCGCCTCACACAGCTCAGTAGAGACCACATTTTGACCCTTTCGCCCTCGGTACACCCCCTCTGCTGCTGTACCTGGTGAGACAGGGCACGGTGTGTCGCTGGCTCCTCAGACAGGCGCTCCTCTGCAGCCACAGTGTCCGCTGTTTGCACACCGCCGTCCAGCTGAAGCCGCTCCGCGCCACGCCGGGGACTGCGGCCGCTTTCCGGCTGCACAGCCCGAACATCAGGCGGCACAACTTACCGGAGTACATGCTGACATGACCCATCAGCTGCTAGATACTGTGAGTTAGTTCACTGCACTACGGTAGTCGGTTTGCGTGAGTGTTCATATCTTTTCTGCTCGGGTAGAAACAACACGCACTTTAGTTCCTACTGATCCGACGCTGCTGGTACTGACGGTAAACAAGCAGCTATACAGCAGAGGACATGTTGTATAAAGCGATTGAATCGTGCAATACATGTCTCTTTTAATATTAGCCTTCTGTCCTGGACATTATTAGTGCTCAGTTTAGTACAAGTTGTATCTTATTAGTTACAGGAGCTTAAACTCTCCCTCTCCGAGGTTCATGTTACCTTGATCAAGCTCGAGCAATAATGGCCTCCACATGCACCATGCTCTCCCGTGAGAAAGACACTGTTCCACTGCTTCAAACAGCAAATCTGCGAATGTGTAATGTGAATGGGATGAAACCCTTCTGATCGTTTTGGGGGCTTTATATCGCTTATATTAGGTAAGAGCAGCAGAAGAGAGACAGGGAGGGGGGAGAGGGACATTCAGTATGAACCATCACCAACCTGCAGAGGGCAATAGCAGGTCCCCCTGCTTTGTGATTCTGTTTTGACTTACAAATGTAACATTATGAATCCTCGTGTGTCAAGAGATGCTGATAAGACAAAAAAGACGCGAGACAATTCAAGGAACAAACAGTTTTATTTGGACATCTTACAATAATGTTTCGGAAAAAGTTAATCCTGTTACGCTTTAAAATGGTACAACTTTGAGTTTTTAGTGTCCACAGAGTCTTATTAAGCTTTGCATAACGATACAAGTGAAAACTCCTACCATTCAGAAAGTCTTGCTCTTCAGTCACACTTTAAAAATAACAACATATTTACAAAGATGAAAGAAATGTATGGGGGGGGTCACCTACACAACTGCCTCTATAATGAGACAAGCCTGTTCAACTCATGGAATTTAAAATGGTAAAGTGCACAGATCAGGAGGTTAACTGTGCTCCTCAGCGTCTGCTACGACGGGAGGGGGATGTTGACCTGAAAGAGAGGCGTGGACATAACATTAATACTGCACCAACCACACTTACCCACGCAGACTACAAATGACAGACATGCACAGATATACCCCCCCCCCCGCATACTGTACTCCTACAATACCATAAACTGTACATAATATCCTTAAAAACTAAGTTCTTAAGTTCTGCAGACTCTAGAGAAGCAAGTCTACCCTGCAGTGCAGTGTATTGTGGCATTATTTAAGGCTTCTACAAAACAGAACACAGGACTCTACTGAGGCAACAGAGGGGACTTTTGCATTTAGACCGCCATGTAGCACTAAAACACTTTATTGCAACAGACTCCACTTTACACAGTTAAGCAGATGGCAGTACTTTTCATAACATTCAGCCAACAACTTTAAGAATTTTCCTTTGTAAAGTTATTGAAAATATATTAATTACATGGACTCCAGAGAAATCACAATGAGACATACAATGAAAACATACATTAAGAAATAAAGAGAATAAAACGAATACTACCTTGATCGCGACTTAGACTTGTGTTTGCGGCTTGCCTTCTTACCAGACTTGTGAGATTTTTCCGTCGACCTTGAGCGACTACGTTTGGATTTTTTTGATTTCTTTTCTTTGCTAACTTCAGGGGTAGGGGATCTACTTGAGTCAGAGTCTGAGCGCCTCTTGCTAGCTTTGGCGGAGCCCTTCCTGCTGGCTTTGCTGTCCTGCCGGGAGTGCTTGTCACTCTGAGAGTCCGTGTATGAGTCACTCTCCTTCCTTTTCTTGGATTTGCCATTCTCCTCTGTGACTACAGAGCTTCCCTTCTCCTTCTCTTTGGCCTTTGGCTTTTCTTTCTTTTTATCGGAGTCTTTCTCCCTATCCTTATCCTTCTTTTTCTTGTCTTTGTCATGGCTATGACTCCTTTCCCTCCTCCTCTCTCTGTCTTTGCTGGAGGCCTTCTGTTTGTGTTTGCTGCTGCGACTGTGACTGCTGTCTCGACCATCCCGGCTCCGTTTCCTGTCCCTTTCCCTTTCCTTCTCCTTCTCTCTGTCTCTACTGCGACTGCGGCTGTCTCTGGCCCTGGCTCTGCCCCGGTCTCTCTCTCTGGATCTGGATCTACTCCTGCGGCTCCTGCGCTCCCTAGAATCACTGCGCTCTTTCTTGTGGCGGCCTGATCTCTCGGCACTGCTCCTCCTCCTGTCCCTAACTTTCTCACTACGATGCCTGTGGGAGCTGTGGCTGCGGCTGCGCCGGCGAGCCTTGTGAGAGGAGGAGCGGCTACGCCTCCTCTTCCTTCGTGGGGAGGAGGATCGAGAAGAACTGCGCGAAGATGCTGAGGAAGAAGAGGAGGAGGAGGAGGAAGAACGGCGGCTGCTGTGGCTGGAGGTGGAGCGGGAGCTGCTGCTATGCCCGTTGGCTGGGGAATCGCTGCCGCCTCGCCCTGATCGCTCCTTCCCTCTGCCTGAGGGCTTGCTCTCACTATCCTCCTTCTCACTACGGGACCTACGTCTCTCTACCAAGGGCTCCGCCTCCCTCTCTTTTACTTCCTGTTTGTGTGGATTCTCTAGTTGGCCCTCATCATATTCCCCCTTTTCTCTGCTCAATCTCTCCTTCACCATCTCTTCTGTAGAAACAAACAACAAACACTCATGTAAAAATAAACCAGGAAACATCAGGTGCAGTAAAGACCACGAACACACTACATAACTTTCATATTAATTATGGTCTTAAACGATGTTCAAGATGAAATAAAGTCAGCATTAGTTTGGATATTTTAACTCCTGGCCACACTGTGAGCATTTGCACAGCAAATTAAGCATCATACCCTAACCCCTAACCCTGTATCTGTCGAAGGGACAGATACAGGAAATCTTCTCCTGCCGCATGATCACACTGTACAATAACACTAATAACTCTGGTTCATGGCAAAACAGTCTCCAAGGAACCTTATGTTTTTTACATAATCTGTTCACTGCACCTTATATTTTTACTTTGCACTACAATTTATTTATACATTTTTTATATTGCATTTTATTCTTTTAATTCATTGTGTTGTTATTGTGTGTAATGCTGCTGCTACACTGCAATTTCCCAGCTTGGATCAATAAAGTCTATCTATCTATTACTGGTAAAAAAATATATATTTTCATTGTACATTTAAACATTTTGAGGTATTAGAGTCAAGGTACGTAGTGTGTTCCTAGTCTACATTTGCAGGGACACAAACATCATGTCTTACCGCGTGCAAGCAGAGCTTCTTGTGCTTGTTTTTCTTGAAGTTGCAGCGTCTCCCGCTCTTTGCGGCGGAAGGCGTCCTGCTTCTCCCGGATGCGGTGGCGCAACTCCTCCTCATCGGTGTCGGAGGATTCAGACCCTCGCACACTGCGGTCGTCGTCGTCCTCACTCTCATCCGAACCATAGTCACCAAGCCCACCTGCCACAACAGAGCCCCCGGGTTGTTGAGAGTGGGAAAGCACCAAGATCCATTCTCACAAATCAGGTTTCTCTTTTGAAAGCCCTCAATCCCACCCCAAGCTCTCCGTGGAAGGCACTTAATCCTGTATAACTTTATATGTCAGACTGATAAACCCCATAAAAACAAACTAATACATATAGCCCGTTAAGACTAAAACTCGATAGAAATACGTTGTATTCAAGAGCATGCTTCTATCATCAAAGTGCAAAACTAAACCCAATTCAGTCACTGAGATTCCACTTCTATTTGAATCAATCTTCAAGATGGGAACTGTATTTGGGTGTTAGGTCTGGTGCTAAAAGATGTTCCCATGTTCGTACTAACAACCCCCAATAAATTGAAAATATTTTCCTTCCCTCCCCCCGGTGACAGAAAAGGGGATACTCACTGAGACCAGTCAGAGAAGCCAGTGCACTTGACTGTGCCAGCTGTTTTGCAGGAGCTTTGATTCACATCAACAACAGGAACAACATGTTAAAACACATACTGCCATTTTCTCAAAGGCAAGAGAGTTGCTAGAGAAGGGGGTCACAGATAAAGCACTATTCACAGCTGCCATTGGTAACAAGAGAGAAAAAA